CCCCAAAACCCCAAAACCCCAAAACCCCTTTAGGTTAATGTAAGACTGAAATTTACTTTTTACTGTGAAATTAGCATCCTTTATTAACTAGAAACGCTAGCTTAGCATCTCTTGATGCTAGTCTTTTTAATTCTGAAGAATAGTTTTGGTCTATTATATTTGGGTCATCTGATGTCTTTTTTAAATAAATTCCTGGCTTTGGCTGAATTGAACCTTCGTTTGTACTTCTTCATGTTAAATATCGAGAAATAGAAGACTTTGTATCATCATTCTTTCAGATATTAGGCTCTTTCTCAGGAGATCGGTGGGACTCTTTCTGGTTCTAAAGAGATTTAACTATAATTTACATTTCCATAGCTCAATTTTCTCTCAAGTGTCTGATTGTTCCTGAGTGAAGCGGATTTTTGTCTATTGGGAGGGCTGTTATTAAGAGTGCTCTTCTTTGAAATCTTGTCATATCTTTTATTCTTACGGGGCTTTGGAAACTTGGGATCAATTTCAAGCTTGATCATGTCATTTATCATTCTTCTCAAATAATGCTTAAGCATTTCTGAGCTTTCTTCAAGGCAAGGATTCGTATTTACCTCAATCAGCCATAGGTTAAAATCAGAATCCATAATAAAATCATAACCAAAAAGTTCGAATCAGAACTTTCTGTTGTTCGGGTTCAACTTTCTTCTTACAGAAAGGAGACTGTGCATAATAATCTCCTTCATTCTTGGAAGTCCGTCTCTTTTAAAGTTATATCCTCTCTCAGGATAGTGCTCATCGATGTATTTTTGGAAATTTTCAAAAGACATTTGGTTTCCATCCTCAAAATCTCCATAATTTTGTGCGTATTTTTGGATTGCATTATTAGTCAAATGCACAAACTGATCATCAGGGTTTGTGTCGTCTAAGGTAAACTCAGAGCCACTTGTCCGTAAGTAACCCTCTTTGAAGAAATAGCATTTACCTGCTGAGCTGACAAATACCCACACACGGATATCAAATTTTCTTTTATGTATCAAAAGAGGTTTCTCAATATATTTCTGGATGATCATCATTACTGAAGTTTTACCAGAGCTCCTTTCTTTAGGGTCGGGATTCTCACTACAGTTCCATTGTTCATGAATAAGAGCCTTTAAGGACTCTAAAGAGTTGAAAACATGGATCCCTCTCCCTCTATTAAGATTAGTAGCTTTGAGAATCCAGAAGTTCTTTCCGACAGAATGCGAAAGAGGCATTTCATGTCTAGTATGCCTGCATTTGCCTCTCCTTTGGAAGTTAAACCTTTTAAATTTAGTACCTGAAAGATACTTGAGGTCGAACTTCCCATCGTTTTCTTGTTTGAGAAGGTTAATGTTCAGAAGTGTTTCATCGATAATTGGCTCTTCTTGTACCCCAGAGGATGAGTGAAGTCCTTGCAGAACACTCTTTGCTTCTTCAAAAATATTGAAGAATGAATAGAATGGCATAAGTGCGTTATTTATTGCATTTGGCTTATTCATATCTATCTTAACAACAAAACTGTATAGGAGCTATTTCAAATATATTTTTCTTAATAAATTCGCAATGATTCTGAAGGTTATTGAACATACTACTCTTCTCCGTCAAGCATCGATGGTTCTCAAAGTGGTTAACCACCTGAGTGATAGGATTTTTCTGGCTGAGTTTTCGAAACTTCATTCTGAATGATACTGGTTGCCACTTGAAATTGAAAGCAGAATCAACATTTGGAATTTCTACCCACCAATTCCTCTGCTGCATTGCTTCTCTTATCAAATTAGAATTATTTCCAGGAGTTACAATGTATTTGTACTTGTTTTTACTGTAAATATTTGAAAAAGCTATTTTTGAGCATGTGTTTGAGGTTGAAATTCTCTCATCCTTTCTCTTTGACTTTGTATGTAGCATCATATCAAGCCCCTCTCTAATTCTACACCAAAGGTTAGCAAAGACTTCACTTAATGATCGCAAAATTAACTTTATCCTTAGGATACAAATAAAAACATATATGAGTTTGCCGACAAAGGTTAATTTTAATTTTAGCCTTAGTCAAAGTATTATCACTACTCAATAGCTTAACCAAATTACTTTTGCTCTTCAATATTCTTCCCATTGAGAATGATTTTATTTTGAGGTTCTTCTACAGATTCAGCCTGATTTGCATCTATTGGGAACATTAACCACCATAATACCTGTTATGTAAGAAGGCTTATTTAAGATATTTAGATAGTATTTCCTTTGACTAGGATTATTCTTAAGCCATTCAACATCGATCTTAGTAAATCTATTTTCATCAACTACTTGTTGGGATCATAACATTAAATCATGCTGCGCAAGAGCCACGCTTTGAAGAGCTTGAGCGTTAGCTTGTGCTGCTTCCCTTCTCATTTGATAAATCTTCTCTTGCTTTGCTATCAAGTGGGAATTAGGACTATTGCTGAGTTTCTTCTTTGAAACAATGAGGTAATCTTGCGATACATCTTTACTCTTATTTCCTTCTTTCAAAAACAGAAGAAATCCTAGCCTTGCGGTTATGATTGATGTTTCCTTTCACCATCTCTTGGACCTTTACCTCAGGCATAATATGTAGGTAGTTCTTAGAATTATTACCATTAATTCTAAATTATGAACAAAATTCCTCACCTATCAAATTTGGTCTGATAATTCTTAATAATTTCTTCATGATTCTTAATTCTAACTGCCGGGCTAATCCTATTTATACTCTCTAAAAGATGATTCAGAGATTACTTATGGCTTAGAGCTTCCTTTTGGTTGAAATTCACGTTCTTAGGGTACGAGCTAGTATGGACAAGATTTTTACCTCCATCTAGGAAGCTAGATGATTTATTCGGTGTCCTTGAAACTACTTTTCCATCTATTAAGACTCTTTCCTCACTGTTATGATAATCGATCGTTGAGTTCTTGACGATAAAATGTGGCCTCTTAAAGTTAACATCGAATTGGGTAGCAATCAAGGTAGAGATTGTTTGAGGAGAGAAATCCTGACTCTTTCAGTAATCCTTCTTTCTTTCATTTTTCTGAGCAGCTCTTCCTGAATGAATTGTATTAACGGAAGCAGGGCTATTTCCTTTAGAATAGAGGACTTTTGAGCAAGAGCCAATTCATATAAGTTTTTCTGCATTCTTGCTACCCTGGCTTTCCTTCTCAATTTGCTGTATGTTCTTATAAGGACTATAAAACGATACAGAATCTGAATTATTATGATAATTGTGTCTTCTCTCAGGTTTAGGTTTTGGATCAGCCTGAAATGCATGATCACTACTCGGTTTTCTCCTAACTTGATTCTCTATCTTAGTAGTGCTAAAGCAAGTTTGGAATCTATTTTTCATTCAATTTACCCAATTTTGCAGAAGTAAAATCCTGTGCTTTCTTTAAAAGCAGGAGCTGTTGCTCCTCTCTTTTCTCTTGAGTCTTATTTACAAAAATTAGATTTGTAATATTGAGCATTTGGAAGCTTAAATTTGTGATTAGTCTTCGGATTCCTCCTTCTTGCCATAGAAGAGCACTTAGATTTCCTTCCAATCGAAGGATGAGAAGCTTTGTTACTGTTTCTTCCAATTTTATCCATTTTATTTATGAATTAAAGTTTCTATTTTGTAAAAGAATTTTGGGGTTTTGGGGTTTTGGGGTTTTGGGGTTTTGGGG